AAGTCCTCACCAGTCTGAGGCAAGAAAAGAACTTACTTGGGAGATATTCCTCACCCAAATTCACAATCGTTTGTTTGCAGAAATCAGTAACTTGGGGCGCAAGTTATCCATTCCAAACTAAGTCTGCTAGAATTTTTATTACTAGCAGTGGCACGCTCGCACACCAAAAGAAAGCTGACTTGTTGACCAGTCTATGGTTCTCAAGGCAGTGGGGAACTTTGCCCTTCCATCGCAAGAGTAAACGCAAAACGGGCAAACACCTCTTTCTATGACATAGCATGGGTTCTGGCTAGAACTTCCAATAGTCATATACTTTAGAAAATTTCTTTGGGAGTATGTATACTGAGAAGTCCACTGGGCGTGCCAAATTGTTCACCCATTTTGTATTTGCTCCTATGATGGAAGAGTAAAGTTCCTCATTGCCTTGAAAACCACTGACTGGTCAACAAGTCAACTATCTTTAGTGTGCGAGCATGTCACTGCTAACAATAAAAATCCTAGCAGACTTCTTAAGAATAGATAACTTGCGCCCCAAGTTACTGATTTCTAAACAAGCGATTGTGAATTTGGGTGAGGAATATCTCCCAAGTAAGTTCTTTTCTTGCCTCAGACTGGTGAGGACTTCACAATTTTTCACAGTACAAAACTGGTAGTTCTGGCGAGAATAAATGATAAGATAGTAAACTGTTTTTAGGCAAAAGTGCCTTTTACAAAACTGAAAAAGGAAAAATCAACTCTAAAAAGACAAAAAGAATGCTGGACTTCCATTTCTGCCTGGGTAGAAAACTCCTGATCCGGGCTGGACTGGGTAAGCATGTGCTGGACTGAGCTATTAACAACTTCAACTGCTAAACTTCAGCTGTAAATCGATACCAACGTTCGAGTTTGGCAGAATTCTAATCTATTTCAAGCCCTGGAAGGCTTTTTGAACAGGCAGAATTGCGGCAACTTCAGTCTGAAATGGGCAAAAATGGCTGGACTTGAGGATTACTGAGCTGGAACTGCACTATGATACCTATTCTGCTTGATCAGGACTCTCCATAAATTTGTTGAGGTTTTCATATTTGTAAAAAAAAAACATAGACTCTACTTGTTTTGGCTTTTGCTGAACCAAATTTGTAACGAGAGAAATTTCGTTTTGAATGACTTATTTCTCTTATGTCTGAACTAGAAGTTCTGATAGCTAGCTTCTTCTGTGGCTCGAATGAGCTTTTGGTTGCTTCAGTTTGTTTGAAGGTTCTAAGAGATCAAGTGATCATTTCGAGTTTTTGTCTTTGTTTGATTTGATTGTCTGGTGTTTTGTTCACCCTCTCTTATATTTATAAGAAATGTTTTGGCATAGGGTTTCTAATTCTTTTAATAATGGGTGGCAAAAATTCTCAAAAGATCTCTCATTTTTAAATGCAAAGGAAAAGGGGTTATATCAATTCTGGCAGATAAGCCATTAATAGTTAGTTCCTAAGACAATCACACTATGCTAAATTTCACTTTCCGCAACACTACATAGGCATCATCAAAATGAAATACCGATGCTGTTAGTGTATTAGGCATCGGTTTTATAAATAATAGGGAGTTTCACTAAAACACCCAAAATGGGGGTTGAAATTATAAAAAAATCCAAGCACTATTTAAACATATAAACACACCCAAAACCCATCATTACACACACTCAAAACCCATTTATAAACACACCCAAAAAGTTGACTTTGGGGTTGATTTTGAGTGTGTTTCTATGTTTAAATAGTGCTTGAGTTTTTTTATAAATACATGTCTAGGATTGGGTTTATTTATAAATTTGTATAAATAATAAGACTAAAAGTATATAAAGGCATCGGCACAAATTTTTTATTTTTCCTACCGATGCCATTGATTATACTTAACATCTATGATAGAAATATACTAATGCGTAAAATAATTGTGCGAAAAATAAATTTAATCGCCACATTTAGCTCCAACGCCAAAAGTCAAGTCAACCCTAACCCAAAATTTTCACGCTCTCCCTAGCAAACTCTGCCCGAAACTTCGTCTCCCTCTCAAAAATTTCACCCGCTCTCAAATTGTCACCCCCAGTTACTTCGTCCACTTCCAGAGCCCTCTCTGACCCTAAGCTCACGCACTCTCTCTCTACCCAAAACCCTTTCTGGCTCTATCTGATTCCAAATCCCTTTTATTATCTTTAACCCCAAACGAGCTCATTCTTTCTCATCTAGAAATCCTCTTCGTTCCTAAACCCTCTCACGACTGCAATCGCAAGGTAACCCTAACTCTCTTTATTGCTCTTTTATTTTCCAGATGTTATAAAAAAGTTCTTTCAATTTAGCCTTGCAGAACCTCACGGCTGCAACCCTAATTTGATTCCCAGAAACGCAAGAAAGGTGCTGTGGATCATGAGGTTGGAGAAATATTGAAGGATTTTGCACAAAAAGATCTGGATGATGAGTTCAACAAGATTGATGATCTGAAGAAAGAGAGTAATATTATTAGGCTGGACTTGGACATGGGGTTCTTCAAAGATCACAAGGAGGAAGTGGATTTGGAACTTCGACTTGGGCATCTGTAAGTGCAAAACTTCGCCTACTTGTGTGGGAATTTATCCCAACTTAGTTTAGATTTGTTTTTATGCTGCACTTTATTTTTAAATTGAAATTTATTTTCCCCTTTCTTCTTAATTAGCTACCCAACAATGAAAACAGAGATGCTTTGAGAAGGTTAATTTTTGTATGGATCTAATATTGGGTGATTACTATTAGGACTATGCAAACCCTTCCTTTTGGCTTTTTCCTTTGTCAGTTCATTTGTTGACTTAAGCAGTTTCTAGCTTAATTAATCTTGAAATTTTCAGTTTTTATTGTTCTAATTCCTCTATTGGTAAAGTGGGGTTACCGGTCATTTTTCTGGTGAGCATGCAGTATAGTTGAATGATCTGCAGCTGTCTCATCTGGCTTTAACCTTTTTTTTGTAGTTTACAAAGAGAACTTGAAGTGATCATAAATATGAGAGCTGGCCCTGCAGACTTCACTAAATTCAAATGTTTTCATGAAAACATACAAAGAAGAAATTAAAGTTTCTTTCAATTACTTCAATTTATGTGCTACCAGATACTACAAAGTTTCAAATTCTTTCAAAAGTTTAATTTATATTTAGATTTTTTATTATTCATTTTGCAGAATCTAATGGTGCTTTGGTTTGTTTTTAGAAGAGGTGCCATGTGATTGGTTGAAGTTGGAGAAAAGGCTGGGTGAAAGAAATGTGGGAAAGAGGTCAAAGTCAGCTTCTTATTCCCTCTTTTTTTTTTTTTTTTAAAGCTGGGTGTGGATCTGCCTGAAAATGGTGCTGCCCAAGTGTTCAATGAAAGGTCTGTACACAATGTTTGAGGCAGGTGCTTTGTTTTGATTATGATTCATAATTTTTTTCCTTTCTGATTTTAATTTTCCGTTTGAGGCTGGTGCTTAGTTTCTTTGTTGTATTTTTTTTTTTTTTTTTTTTTTTGGGGGGGGGGGGGGGGGGTGATGGGGAGGGTGGTGGGGCGGGGTGGGGGAAGGGAATAGTTATGTATTGATTAATTTCTTATGTGGGATTCTTCAAGGGTTGTGGATAATTGATTAATTATATCTAGCAAGTAGCTAAAACAGTAAATCTAAACTATTGGGCTTTGCTTCACAAACCCTGTTATGTTTTGTGAACAAACGAAGACTTTAGATTGTTGCTGGGCTAATTCTGTATCTGAAAATATTATGAATTCTTCAAATTTAATCTATTGCTTGATGTTGTGAATTTTTGGAACTCTGTTTGGTTTGCCTAATCTCCTTACGTTTTGTGTCAAATTAAAGATATTGAAGAATGTGGAATGGCTGGAGTAGTTTCCCTTAAAGGTGGAAGATTTCAAGCGCTTTGATGAGTAAGACATTGAATAGTTGCTTGCTTTATGTTTTTTTTTTTTTTTTTATCAGTAAGCACAAATATAAGAATGGCTTTAAGGTATTTATTTTAATTTGTTCGTTTAATCCAAAAGTTCTTTACTTTGGTCATGAATTCCTTGTTTTCCTGCAGCTTATAGGTACCTGGTGATCTCTCTCTCTCTCTCTCTCTCTCTCATTTGCGCGTGACCTTATTTTCTTGTTAATTTGAAATGTAAAATTTCATAGACAAAAGAAACCAAATCTGTTTTGGGTATCTGTTGTGGCTCCAATGGAATAAAACCTGCAGGTGCACTAATTTTGTTTTATATACACTTTCCTTGCACTTCTTATATATATCAGGTGGGTGACTGTTTTCAAAGGTGGAATTGTTACAGGCCTTATTGGTTTAGCTGTAATGTATGTGGGGCTATGATGTCCAGGTTGGTTAATGTATTGAATGATGATTATTGAATATTGGCCTTATACTTGATACTGCAAAAGTCTGAGAGTACATGTCAAATGCTTATTTTTATTGGAATTTTGTCATCTGTTTGTATCATTTGTGCTTTATTATCTTTAGTTTTCATTTTTTTATTTGTAGCTTATAAAAAAAACAAAACAAAAGGGGACTGCTGTGTATGGAAGGGCAGAACACTTGGTAAGCATATGGAGAAAGTGTTTTTTGTCGTCTTATATGTGTATGCTTCTTTATGCTGACTTTGGTTCATCTTAAATAGAAAGAGAAGAAAATAGTGAGAAGAAAATAGCGGAGAAGGATGAGGAAATTGATAGAGCTCTTCTATGGAAGTTTGCACATGAAGATAGGAATGGGAAGATTGGCTTTTTGTTTGTACTAAGCATTCTCTCTCTTCATTTTACATGTCCTTTTTTTTTTTTTTTTTTTTTTGCTAGTATTTTGGTTATAGACAAGTATGGATCATATGTGGGTTTAGAAAAATAGTGATTTGTGGAAAGTGCTGGATATATATATATATATATATTTCAAGTATGGATGTATTTAAAATTATTTATGTGAAAAATGGAAATTGCTTACACTTTATTAGTAACAAGGATGTCTATTGTGTATAACAATCTCAGTTTTGCCATAACAATTGAAGTTAAAAATTAAAAACAACATCAGCACAATTTGGGAACCGAAGCCTATAATTTGAAAGGTCAATAATATATAATATTTGTAAAAAGTCAAATTTTTGTTGGTTTTTCACTTCAGCATAAGTACAAAAAACGAATGCGTAAAACATAATTTGCAACAACAGTGACATCTTTTTTGAAGTGGTAAGTTAGCACACGCTTCAGTATAAACAAAATCATTGATGCTATAATGAGTATTTAGCATCCGTGCTGATATATTCCCTGATGCTATTTAAGGTTTAGGCATCAGAGGTCAACGCTCTTTTTGGCATATGGTAACAACTTACACATCGGTGACTAAGGAAGAAAGAAGTAGTAAATCATCTTTAGCGACAGGGAATGTCCGAAGCGTATCATTATATCATATGCATCGATTCCCAATAGTTCGGTTCTTAGGTACCTTTAGCAACAGAGTTTCACCGAAGCTAAAGGTCAATTTTCACATAGTGTCACTTCCCTATTTTCTTGAAGGAAAACCTAAACTTTCTTCCAATTTAACTGCTCCTTTGTAAGAGTTTAGAATTGTGATGGTTAGTTTTGATTGTCTATTTGAACAACTCCCTGCTTCCCACTTATCTTTTTGAGATTGTAGTTTGCTTATCTCTTGGAAAGATCACATGCTATGATGCAGAATTGTATACAAAAGGATTATGATCTTTTAGCCCCAGAATTTCAGAGAAGTCTTTCTGCTAATGACCTGCTTTCATTTAATTTTCAATCAACTCTCTTGTGATAGTTGAAATTGTTGACTTTTCTAAGTAAGGTAGTCACGTGGGTTCTGAGAATAGGCTTTCCAAAAAGATATGATGACCTTGCACTATGGGTTTTGAGATCAGTGGTGAGCCAGAAGCTGGGCCCAATCCAATTTTTCTTTCAATTTTTTATTGATCTACTTAAGTGGTTGATTGCCATTTAATCTTGACGTTTTTACAAGTCTGCCATTTTTGTAAAAGACATGGGCCTTCTGATCAGGTTTTGGGCTTTCTCTATTTTTTTGAATCGAAGCCCAGTTCTTCATCTTTTCTGTTTTATGGGCCCTTGTGAGAAGTGGGCTGGCGCGTGGACCTCTTTTCTGGCCCAAACACGGTGAATGTTGTCTAATGCTGGTTTAGGCAAGGGTTTTGGGCTGAGGCGATTACTTATGCATGTCATCTTATTAATCGATTGCCGGCTACTGTGAACGAGGGCAAAACACCCATGAAGATATGGTCCGGTATACCTTGTACTGATTACAAGTATTTACATACATTTGGTTGTCCTGCTTACTATCATGTCAGGGAAAGCAATTTGGATCCAATAGCAAAAAGAGCTCTATTTATGGGCTTTAGCACTGGCATGAAGGGATACTCCTCAAAATTGAAGCTGCTTGCTTACTCCTCAGAATTGATGACATTGTAAGTGGGATCAAGAAGAAGCAGCCTCCTGGTGCCAAAGCTCCTTCCAAGCCTCAAGTTCAGACAGAAGGTGATGCGGATAATGAGCAAATAATTTTCGATTGAGTATCGATAGCACTTGGGTCTCTTGGTGTGAATGAGGTTTTGCTTTAAAGAAAGAAAAAAAATAGAGCATTATAAGTTTGATGAGGATATTTATAATGTCACTTTAAGTTGGTAGTGTGTTTTTGTCTCTCTTCTTTCTTTCTCAATCCAGGAGGGTTGGGGAAGAAGAGATGTCTTAATGGAGAACGCTATGTTAGTTTGGCATGTCATCTATGTATCGAACACAATTTTTTGTTTCCTTATTTGGTTGGCACAAATGGGATGGGGGCTTATTTTCGACCATTGTGAATGACTATTAACAATTGAAAGTTATTGAGAAAAAGGTAATTTTCTCAAAGAAAGCAGAAGTTTGTCATGACCAAGCATCAATATTCATGATAAGCCATTGTAAAGATACACCAGAGCTTGCAAATAAAAGAACAGAACGTGCAGCAAGCCCAATGTACACTAACTCGTAGAGGCGAGATTCAATCTTGACCGTTATTTTTGACTCGGGGTGCAAGCATTCATCTTGGCCATTCATTAGGAGAGAGTTGAAGTTCAACTATATACTTGTCACCCTCATCTTAAACCAATCTGCCCTTTATTGATACAGTAATGAAAGAATATCAATACGTGGTATTCTTTTCAGATCTGCAATCTTACACCAATCTGTCTATATGTGACATTAAAAATCAAAATTGAGGGGCTAACCTTGCCGTTCTTCACGACATTGGAGTTTCAGTAGAGTTGTACCGCAGAACTGATGGTGTTTCGGTGGAGTTGTCACAGCCTTAGGGTTTGCATATCTGATTCTGATGGGGTTTACAAAGAAATTATGCGGAGGTCTGTGTAGAACATGTGAAATTTTAATATTGGTTTATTATGTTATTTGAATAAAATGTGTGTGAAATTAAAATGTGTGTGTGTGATGGGTTCAGGTAAGTAAGGGTAATTTAGGAAGAAGTGATGGGTGTAGAGAATAATTTTAGATTTCACTAAAACTTTACGGGGTGTAAAGAGTGTGTGGGGTCAAAAGAGAGGATTGTTGGGTTCAAATCAAATATGATAATTAATGTCCCACAAATCAATAACGTTTTGGTTTTACAAATCCATAATTTACCTTATTTATGTTTTAGGGGTATAATTGGAATAAAAAAAATAATTAAATAAAATGTGAACATCAATAAATAAAAAAGACATGTAATCTTATGTGGCGCAAAAGTCAAAGGACTTAGATCAACAACAGCTTTTACGTGGATTGCACCTAACATCTCTCATAAGAACTGGACTTATGCCAAATTTTCTATATTTTTAAATCAAGCATTCATCTTGGCCATTCATTAGGAGAGAGTTTGAAGTTCAGCTATACACTTGTCACCCTCATCTTAAACCAATCGGTTCTTATTGTCACAAAAAACTTACAACCTAACGCTTCAAGTCTTACGTCTTGCTTTACAGAATCAAAAACGCGTCACCTCTACACCTCTCCTTTCAAAACATTGGTATTGCTCTCTTATTTCCTTCTACCATCTCAATATTAAAGTTTGTTGGCCAATTGATATTTTGGGAAAACCTGTCAAATAGGACTTTTAATGTAACGTTGTTCTCCAATGGATCCATGATGTGGATATATCATCTTGACATGGTGTCAATACCAATCTATCTTTATCTGCAATCTTACAGCAAAAAGCAATGGCAGATCTATATATGTCCAGAGAGAATCTGTCCGCAAGTATTTAAAGCCTAGCTAAAAGAATCTCTCAGCTTTTATTATTATTATTTTTTTTTTTGGGTCTGAAGTATCTCTCACCTTAAGGACAGCATACCATTTTGATGTATAGAGGGTAATCTTAAGGATTATTAGCAGTGGCGAAGCCAAGATTTTATGTGTGTGGAGGCCTCTTATAAATTATAAAGAATCAAAAATTCGAACTCACAATACATACGAAAAATAGTATATATATATATATATCACATATGTCAAGAATTATATTGCTTATTGGTTGCAATCATAATTGTCCTCGACAAAGGCATAGACAAGGAGATAGACAAAGAGTAGTGATTTAGCAAATATCTTTAAAGTTTTTCCCCCCATTAAACCCAATAGAAAGAAAAAATCAAAATTTCACAAACTAAAAAAAACCTTAGGTCCCTTCATGCATCATATCATACATGAAAAATGTTTTACGTAAAAATATTGACTAAGTATGAAAAATGGTTTTTCAGAATAATCATTTTCTCAAGATAATTTTTGGCTGCTTTTATTCCTTACACATCAAATAAGAAAACTTGATTTTATGGGATTTTAGTATGAAATATATATTGACATAATGAGACATCATTTTTAGCCTAAATCATTTTTTGCACTAAAACCGATTTTTCATATTTTGACTTGGTGGGAATTTGATTTTTTAGTATTTTTATTTGAATCCAAATAGGGGATACTTTCTTATTTACATTGTAAACTTAAGTAAATAGAGTAATATAAAAATAAATGAAACTAAAAGGACAAAGACATTTACGTGTGGCTCCGCCCGTGATTATTAGTGTCACAAAAAAAGTTAGAGACAAAATGTGATAATTTCGCAAACCTCATAAACCATTTTTGTGATTAAAAACAAGCCTTACTTGTATCATTGGTGCCATTTGCCTTCTTTCGGGAAATATGTGATAAGTGTGATATATGTACTAGTGTTCTAATGTCAAATAATCTTAGATAATTGAATGATATTTATGTTGTTGGACTATGAATTAGAATTATTGTTGATTGTTCACCTTTATGTTTACAAAACATGAATATTCGCCCAAATGTGTTTCCAAAACATAAATATTCGGTAGTGCCAGAAATTGAGATATCTTCAGACAAGTTCATATGCCAGAAATTGGTAGTGCTATAATGTAACCTTTCTTACCAAGTTCATGACATTCTTGCACTAGTAAAAAATCACTCTTGTGTGACCAAATTTTGCGCGATGAAAAATTATTCGTTGCTCAAAGTCACTTTTTGAGTGACAAAACAATAAACTTCGTCGCGCAAAGTCCTTATAAAAATAAATAGAATTTAAAAAAATAAAAAAAATTTAAAAAAAATTTAAAATCTTTGCATGGCGTAATCCAAACATTTCATCGCCTAAACCAATTTATTTTTGTTTTTTATTTTGTATGCATAACACTTAAGAAATTAAATGGTATATATATTTTTAGTAAGTAGCTTTAAATTTATTATTTTAGATCGGATCGGATTTTTGTTAGAAAAATATATTATTGTTGTTCGGATTGGGTTTTTGTTAGAAAATATATTTTTTAAATTGACGATCGAATTAGTTCATTGTATTCATATATGGTCAAAGAGTGTAGCTGTAAAAAATTATTAAAA